TTAAATTATTTATTTTTTAAAAAAAACCACGTATGGAAGTTTCTTTTAAAAATTATCATTTTAATATTATTTATTATTTTAAGTTTTATATCAGATTTTTTTTATCTTATTTGCATTTTAAAATAAATATTTTTTAATAAAATATAACCTATAATCTATATTTTCTATCTTTATAGATTAAAAAAATCAAACTAATAATAATAATAATAAAAATAATAATAATAATAAACTATTGTTTAACTTAAATTGATAATAATAATAATAATAACGTATTAAATTTTAAAAAAAACATCTAACTAAATATGACATTTTAATCTTTATTTTCTGAAAAACAAATAGCTATCTAATTAAATAGAGAGTTTCAAAACATCCCATTACACTCCTATTTCTAAGCAAATTGAAAAACTTTTAAATTAAAATTATTAAAATGATTTTTTTAAAGAAAAAATATGGCGTTTTAATCTTTATTTTGAAAATATAATAATTATCCAACTAAATAAAGAGTTCTAAAACTTCTCGTTACACTCCTACTTCTAAACAATGAAAAACTTTTCAATTTAAATTATTTATTTAAAAAATATTCACGTATGAAAGTTTCTTTTTAAATTTATCATTTAAATATTATTTAATATATTAAGTTTCATATCAGATTTTTTCTTATTTGCAATTTAAGCACTATATTAATTCATATCTCTTATTTTCTCTTCTTCAGATTTTCAACCTTAGCACAAGATAAATGAGAAATTGTCAGAGCAAAAATTATAAAATGATAATATATGTCACTTTCATAAACATAGAAGGCATTAAATTATATTATTATTATTATTATAAGTTAAATATATTATTAAGTGCATAATAATTATTTTTTAATTATAAAATTATTACATTTTAAATCATCCGTGCAACACACGGGCACGTATACTAGTATGTAATAATAAAAGTAATGTTAATTGCTGTCAAATTTCACTCATTGCACTTCTCAATTGGGGGATTGACCACTAGTTCACCACTAAAAGATTATTCTTTGTGTTCCATTTTGTATTAGGATTTATTTCAATTTTAATGAATTTTAAAAATATTTCTCTCAAAAAGGAGCTTCAACCTGATTGAGTTTGGCGGAAAGTTTTTTCTAATTAAGGTTAAAAAAATATTTCAAAGAAGAAAGAGAAAGGACAAGAAAAAAAATAAAAAGAAAAATGAGTAGGATGAGAGAACTGGACTATATGGATAAAAAAAAAGTGTTTTCCCTTACCTGTGTACGTTTTTGGATACTTTTAACATTTCATTAGATGAAAGCTATGTTTCACAGATTCTTCACTTCGGATTTTACACCCGTGTTAACACGACATGATTGTGGATGTGGGTTTCAGATGTGTATTGGATATGGCTAATCGATTTAGGGTAATTTGAACAAAATACATCAACAAATTAGGGGAAAATATAATGATATTTGAATCAATACAAAAACTAGATGAAATTAAAATTTAGGCATATGTTTTTTTCTTTAAAAGATACTTGGAATAACAAGTCAGTCTCTTAAAGGTGCTTTAAAGATATTGTCACAACCATCAAGGTCGTTCTTCTTTGATTTACCCTCCTTTTAAACCTCCCAATAGTTGTGGTTAGCTATATATGACTTGCGAGGATCGATGGAACAATGCCCGAGGTGATCAGATATATTTCGAGTAGCATTTCAGTTTTGCAAGTTGGAAACTAGAAAGGTCTGACCAAAGTTAACATCTAGGGTTGGCGAGGTCGAATTTGAGTTTTGATATTTCCACCAAGTCTAGAGGATGATTAATGGCCTTGTTCGACGTCGACACAATTCTCGAGTCATTCAGAGACATTTTGAACCCTTGGGAGGGATTTCTTGAGTTTCCAATGTTTAAAGTTGACCACAATCAATATTTGATGAAGATGACCCCGAAATGGTTATTTGAACATTCTAATAGGTCACTTTAGATTGACTTGGTTGCTTTTACGACCCCTCTTCATAGAGAAAGGCATGTCATGAGAATGTCGCGCTTACAGAAACCTTTAGCTTCCGCGAAGCCGAGTTACATTAGTGGCTTCTGTGACTCTTCCCCGATCGACACCATTTGTTCTAAATTTCATTTTGGAGATTTTGACCATGGATTGAGGCGATTTTAGAGGGCTTTTCGAGACTTCTTCATAGGGGTAAGTTTTTAACCTTCCATATGATTTTTTCAAGTTGATTAATCGTTTATTTTGTTACTTTATAGCGAATGAAAAATGCAACTAAGATTTTTCTCCTAGTATGATTGTAAATTGGGGTTTTGAAGTCCAATTTATAGTTTTTGGCTTAGAAATTAAGCTTTGAGGTAGGTTATTGATTACTTTTTTCAAACTTAGCTTGGGTGGTAACTTATCATGTAAAGTATGACAGGGGTTGGAAGAAATTTTAGGTAAAAGTACTAAATTAAATGATTTGATGTTGTTCTCAAACTAATATTGGTGCATGTTTTTTTATGACGATCCTAACACCAAAGATTCAAATAATTCTTGATTCGTTTGTGGTTGTTGTTGATACCCACAGAAAGAGTTGGAGGTGGCTGAGCCCTTACATTCGGAGACCCTGCCCGATTCCCTTTTTACTTTTACTTTTGTCTTACTAGCTATTTAGACAACTGATGTACTAGACTTGTCATTTTTCTTTGTAATAAAACGTTCTTATGCACGTAACATTGAGCCTTGTGATTTTGTTTATGTACTATTGCTTTATTTACAAAACATTCTGAGATTTAAAATATTGTTCTAATTTGAATTACTTTTACATGTATTCTATGTTGTTTGTCTTCGCAGAGGCTTACCTTCTATGAGGGTTAGGGTAGTTGCCTTTATGTCTCTAATTTTGTGACATGAGTATCATGACAGATATGTACACATCAACAACATTGATAATTGTGCAGTAAATTCAATAAGTCTATCATGATTTATGAAAATATTTACTATGTGCAAGGTATAACTTGTACTAGTTGTATGAGGATATATTGTTTTATTGATATTATATTTTGACCTGTGCCAAACTATGTTTTATTTTCCTTCTTGGCCTTTGTTTCTCTTTCTTATTTTTCTCTTTCCCCTTTTTCTCATTTTTTGTTTTCTCCCAAATCTAATTTGAAATCAATTCAATTACTCCAAGTTTGAATAAATGAAAATATTAAAAATCAATTCAATTACTCTAAGTTTGAATAAATGAAAATAGTGAGAATACAATTGAATGTGTGTGTCTATATATAATAAAACCCTTGTTATTAAATTACACATTAAATATTTAGAAATTATGAACATAGAAAGCATGGTTATGATTATCATTATTATTAGGCGTTTGACTATAGAATCATATTTTTTTTACTGTATTTAAAATATATGGAGTTAGAGTTGAAAATAGAGTTATGTTTTATTTTTCAAGAAAATATTCAGAATAATATTCATATTATATTAAATAAAACTTCAAAAGTGAGTATCATCATCAAGTCCATCAAAAGCTCATCTTTGGATATCACTACAAGGAATTGCTCTTAATTTTTGGACTTGATGTCTTCATTTAGTTACCAATCTTCCTTGCAAATGCGACTCCAATATCACAAAAGCTGATCAAGAACAATAGAACCTTCTTTAACCCGAGTCTTGCTTTGATTAGTTTGATGCCTTCAGTAACACTGTTAACTTTGAAGTCTTTACTTTTGAAAATTTGTCCATTAAATGCTTCGGGATCCAATATTTGAAAGGAAGCAAACTACAACCAAATTACTAAAATATTTGGTTGTAGTCTTGTAGATACCTTTTGTCAAAGTTGTTTTTCCTATTCCACCAATGCCATATATACCAACCATGTTGTTGATACGAGCATCTACTCCAACTGGATTTCAAGCAACATCTAGAGGTGTCTGGTTGGCCTCTTGTAGGACTTGTTTTATGATATTCTCCATAAATTTAAATTCACACCTACAAATTGTTAGGGAAAAAAGGAATAATAATTAAAAACAAAAACAAAAATCGTAACAATAAAAGCCCAACACTTTAGTTTATTAGGCTTGTTGTGATTGAATTAGCATTTTAATAGTTTAAAAATGCACATTGAAGCTATAGAATATTCATTCAGAGTAATTTTTTATGAGTTTGCTTCACAAAGTAGAAAAGACTGAGAAATCATACCTATTAGCAACATTTTGCAAATCCCATCCAGATAAATTTGGAGGTTCTCTAAGTGTAGTTATCCGCTTCTCCATTTTTTGAGCCCAAGATAATCGTTCCTTGTATACAGACAAAGCTTCACCAAAGCATCCAGATTGCACCATTCTCATAGCTAAGAGAATTTTCAATGATGAACATATCAAGAAACACTTTGAAAAGAGAGTTTTTTTGTGTCTACCTGAAATGTCGAAGACTAAGAGCTTTGTTGAACTGATCATTGAAAGGAATAAATACATCCATCCATAGGAAACTGCATTCTCGTGACAACTCGTATGAAATGGATAGCATCCCTAGTAGCAGTAGATCTTCATATGTTGGGAAAATTAGAAGATCATTGTTGGTCCATTTTCAAACAAAGAGCATTTGATGATGGGCAGGTTCCAGAGGGATTAGTAAGCATGGGGAATAGAACGGTTGAAATGTGTCAAGGTTTACCATTGGCTGCAAGTGTGTTGGGAGGCCTCACCCGAAGTCAACTTTGCTTTCCCACTTTGCCTTACCCCTGAAACTCAGAAATACATCATAAGAGAAGTGAGAAGATGTAGATGATTCTCCTTAAAAAAATAGTGTCCATGGATGTAAAAATTAATGAAGGTTGGATGATTTTAAGTCAATTTGTTAACTGAAAGAGAACTGGGATTTAGATGATTCTCCTTGAATAAATGAACACAGTGAATTGTGATTTCTTCAAGGAAACTTCATTTTGTGACAAGAAATTTGCAATCCTACACCAAGATATTTCTCAAGTCAATGCTACATATCTCCTCATTTGTAGTCACATTCTTCATTTATGTCTTTTTGGGCTTGGCTACACTGCTATACTTTTATTATATATGGTTAACTTTGCAAATAGTTATTTTTAATCCTTTGGTTGCTAAGCAAGGCGGGTTCTCTTTCACTCTTTGGAATGAGCCTTTTCGCAATTCTCTCTCAACACAAACTGGGCAGCTAAACATTAGTAACTATTTTAAAACGCAGCAAGTATATCAATCAGAAGCATGATTTATTTAAAAGGCATTAGCATCAACTTTTACACCAAAAGTCTTGTGATTTCAGTTAGTATAACAATAACAACTTGCTGCACCGTCTTTATATGACATACTTTATAACTAGCTTAGCATTTCTTGTAGGGATGGCCAGCAACGGATGTTCAAAGCCCCCCTAACCTGCTCTATCAAATCTTTTAAAAAATAATGTGATATAAATTGATCAAATAACTAACAAAATGTATATGCCTCATACTTTCATGTTTTAGCTAAGAAGAGAAATGGAGAACTTGCCTCTTATAGCTATGGGTAGAAGTTGCAATCTCTCTTTGTTGTGGGAGTTTTCATTCTGCTTCATCACTACTTCTCCCAATATCAACTCTTCTTTCCTTGAAATCCAAGATTTCTTAAAAAATTTAGAATATCCAACAACCAATTAGTCTTTGCTCTGAGCCCACATATCAAATGTTTGTGTTGGATTGTAATGATAATTAAACAACCCGAACCAAACCAACTTCTTTCTCTTGTTAAGGATTCTAATTGGCTTATATGATCCTCGTCATCAAGAACAATTAAATTATCCTTCGTTTTGAGAATTTGATGAAGAAGTTTCTCTTGTAGCTTGACTAGAGCATTATAGGCTTCCGCTTCTGATCTAATGTCAGAAAGGAAGTAATTATTCTCAAAATATTCGGTTGTAGATACATTTATGCCAAATTTGTTTTTCCTATTCCACCAATGCCAACCATGTGAAGTTGATCAATATCATCTCGCAATAACAACTTTATATCTTCGACGCGAGTATCTCCAACATCTAGAGGTGTCTGGTTGACCTCTTGTAGGACTTGTTTTATAATATTCTCAACAAATTTAAATTCATGCCTACATTAACAATAATAAACTAAGTAACTAGAAAAAGTTAAACAATAAGAAGAACAGTTTATGAGTTGGGTTAACAAAGTAGATATTAGAAAGAAGGGAACCATACCCATCAGCTTCAACATTTGGAGATAAATTTGGAGTTGTACACTTGTGAGCCCCAAATAATGGTTCCTTGTGTATAGTTAAAGCTTCACCAAAAGAAAGACCCAATTTGCTTTCACAGTAGTTAAGAAAGATGAACTTCCTAGAATATAAGCAAATCGATCTGCTATAACTTGTGTTTGGATTCAACAATTTTAACTTGAAAAAGACCATGGAAACCCTTACTCTTCAATTGCTTCAGATCTACATGTTTCTTCTTCAATAAAATAGATTTTTATAAATGTATCAAAGATGTGATTAGATCCAAGATTGAATGAAAGGATGTTGGATGATTTTTAGTCAATTTGGTAAAAAAAAAAAAAGGAGAATAGGAATGTAGGTTTTCTTAGGAAAAAGGATAAACCACAAAGGATTTTTTCTTTGGAGAAGTCGGTCCAATGCTTCATTTGTAGTCACATTTTCCATTTCTTCTTATTTATGAGTATATCTTTTTGGGCTTTGCCATTTTGGAGGTCCAAACTCTCAAATACTTTTAGCAGGGCTGATAAATGGACAGTCCAATAGGATATGAGTCAGGTGAAAATAGTTATCCTCCGTTCCATAATAGTTGTTTACATATGTTCAATAATATTTATCAATTTTATCAAATCAATGTATAATTTTACACTTAGTTCATAATATTTTATTATCATTAATTATAGTCATTTCTCTATTATATTTTTCACAATATTGAATTTATTATATTCAAAGGATGATATAGTAAAATTATCATTATATTCATAGTTTTTTAAGAACGTGCAAAATCAATAGGACAACTATTATTAAACATGGGAGTAAAGTATTATATTTAACCCATATTTAATATAATAAAATGATTAATCTCAACGATATTAGTAACACATCTTAATATACAAGAGAGTGTAGCATAAAAAATGTAGTACCAAATAAGGTATGTTAGTTGACTTTACCCTTACTGTTGAAATAAAGTTATGCTTACCCTCGCCGTCTACAAATTTATTACTCGTACACATCAATTGTATGAAAAACCCTAAATCAACAAAAAAAACCTGAATTTACTTAAATTACCCAATTTTTAACTCAATTCAACCCACCTAATCATATAACTCACTTTTGTTAATCTCATCTTTTAACCTTGTGCTTATTTCCAAACTCTCTCGTGTCTGCTTGCAACCCAACAATACTTACAATAATACAAACTCAGCCATCCATACAATACAACGTTCACAAATCACAATACATCGACCCATATGCCTCTTCCGTATATTCACATAAGCTTCACAAATTAAATTTTGCTATCTCTTGGAAAGGGGAAGTGAAGGAAGCTGTCAGTAATAGTGATTTGGTAACTGCTGAAAGTAGCATAGTGTTTCAACGGAGGAGGAAATGAACAAGATTAGAAAGATGGATTTGAGTTTTAATTTGCATTTGATTTAGTGGGTGGATTAGGATTAAAAGAGAAAATTAAGTCAATTCAATCAAAATTGGATAATTTTAGATGATTTGAGAGAAATGCGAATGACAAGTATAATAATAATAGGAGTAAAGAATAAAATCAACAAATAAATGAAAATTAAGGGGTATTTTTAACCATTTTTCCTTAATACACAAATCCAAAGACAAATCTACAAGATTTATATCTGTTTTTTATGTTTAAAGTTTTCATTTAATAAGTTGAGAGTATAGGAAATTTGATGGAAGCTGTTGGAGGAGTAACGTACCAAATAGAAAATGAAAAAATAAAGCAAACTCAGAGTAGCATGGGATCAATAAGATTCTTGATAGGAAAGCTAACAACATAATAACAATCTCAATAAAATAAAAATAAAAAGGGACAAACTAAAGTTGAACAAGCCAAGTTATAAATTTTTAGGCCTTAATTAATATTCCTACAATAATGCTAGCCATAGAATACCTAATTACTAGTTTACTAGTTGATAGAGAAGATCATTGAGTGGGCAAAATTGTTTGCATTTATTAGAAAATCGTGTGCTTCTAGCTTGCAGTTTTTCATATAGTTGAAGGATGCTTTTTTTCAATGTAATGACACAAAAATGTAGCTTTGAGTTATAGTTAAGGGATGTTTTTAGCCATTTACTCTCAATTTACATATAGCCTTTTCAAAAATATTAACGCTCTAAATAAATAGGTACAAAAAAAATACTCTATTGTTTTTGCTTCATGGTTGAAAACTACAAATAAAATACAAAATTGGACAATTAAAAAGGCACAGAACATATTTTCTAGACCAAAATCTGGTGAGAAGCAAACATGGTCAGGCAAACTAGAATACTGAATTATTTGTAAATGTATAATTCCCATGGTGTATATCACGTCTATGATTCTGATGAGCCGACTGATATATTGGTGCACCAATCAAAACAAGCTGTCCGATTTGACTTTCATTAGCCAATCGAGTGAAGGGGATGTTTGTTAACAACCACAATATCTTGAAAAGGCAAAAGAACAAAATCATTACATAAAGCAGTTGATGAAGAATTTACTATTTTCATGACCAAAGTTCAATTAGAGAACTGTTAATCCTCAAACACTATGCAAACAAAATATACCGATCTAGAACTCTAATTTCACAAATCTAACCTCCAAAACGGTAAAGATTCCTACCCATTTTACCAGCAATCACAACTTACAGAGAAAAGAAAAATAGCCCATTTTTAGACACATTCAACATTGCCACAACAAATCAATTGACAAAAGCAATGAACACTCGAACAAATCCTTATGCAGCAACAACGAAACGTTCAAATAATCCTATCAAAAATCTTCTTTTTTTCAAGTTAAAATAACTTTCGTAACATACCCAGATGATAATAATAGGAAATTAAATTGAATAAGCAAAGAGTGTAGATGACGAAGAGAATAAGCAAATTTCTATTCCTTGAATTAGTAACAGAGAATTACACCATCAAAGCTCAAATAAAAAATAAAAAAACTACCAAACCCTAACCCCCAAATCCGTAAAGGGTCCTTCCTTGCCTCTTAAGTGCATAAACAACATCCATAGCAGTAACCGTCTTTCTCCTAGCGTGCTCTGTGTAAGTCACAGAATCACGAATCACATTTTCCAAAAAGATCTTCAGAACCCCACGAGTCTCTTCGTAAATCAACCCAGAAATACGCTTCACACCACCTCTACGAGCGAGTCTTCGAATAGCCGGCTTTGTAATTCCCTGGATATTGTCTCTCAATACTTTCCTGTGCCTCTTGGCTCCTCCTTTGCCCAATCCTTTGCCTCCTTTACCTCTGCCTGACATTTTTCTGATGAAATTTTAGAGAAGAAATGTTCTTGATTTGGATTTTGATGATTGGGGGTTTGTGATTTTGGTGGTTATATATAGCTGATGGTTTGTTTGGGGTTTAAATCGTGGCCGTTAGTGTGTTGGAGATGAAGGTGATGATCGGACGGATATGAGAGTCGATCCGCGTGAGAGGCGGAGAGTGTATGTGAACCGTTGATTTAATGGAGATCTATGGTGAGGAGTGATTGTTTAGTGATAGTGTGCGGATTGTGCTTTTTTGGTGAGAGAAACGAGGTAAGTACCTTGTTGGCTTGGTCACATTATCTATCATTTCTTATTCCTAAAAAATATACTAAGCCTTATAATTTCCTCTGTTCAATAATAATGGTCAAATATATTAAAAATAATTACTATTCAACAATATTTAAAATTAAGAGATAATTTATTTGATGCTTTTATTTTATCATTTCTATTAAATATTATCTTCGTTTAATTGTCATAGTTTCCTTTTTTTAGAGAAAAACGATAATAATTTTGACTAATATTTTACAATGTATTTTTTCATCATATTAATATGTAAAAACTTGAAATTTATAGTACTCTTTCTATAGTTTTTGAATATCTAATTTTTTGTTTAAACTATCAAATTAATGTCATCTAATTTAACTTTGAAAATTAGTCAAATTAACTTCGAAAAACGCAATATGACAATTAAAAATGGACAGAAAGAATATTATTTATCATTTAACACGTTTTCCAAAACATTAAATTTAATAAAGTCAAAGGATAAAACAATAATAATAATATCCCTATTATTTATTGCTTCTTAAGACGTGTATCAAGTCACTAATGGACAACTATTGTTGAACATAGAACCGTCAAAATGGGCTTAGCACATGGGGACGACCAACCCAACCCATTATTGGGGTAGGGTTGGATAGGATTGTTTAGGGGTGTACATGTCCGGGTTGGTTCGAGGTTTTTCGAATATCAAACCAAACCATTTGTGTCAAATTTTTAAATCTATAAACCAAACCAAACCAAACCAATAAAACTCAGATTTTTCAACCTCGGGTTTTTTCGGATTTTCGGATTTTTTGGGTAAAGTATTCATACAAACATATAATTTACTTGTACTTCAAATATTTCTTTAATCATACCAAAATACAACTATCTAAGGTGTTGCTTAAGAAAATAACACATAATATGATATGAGTAATGACACTAAAATATGCAAAATAATAATACTAATGAAATTGAGTAAAACAAATATTGCAAAATGCAAATTAACAAGTCATAATGAAAATGATCATAATTTAAAAGTACTAAATCATGCTAATATAAGTTTAATAAGTATTAATTACATGACTAAATATTAAAGGAAATTAAAATTAGATTATGTATTTGAATTGTCTTATCCAATGTAAAACCAAAGAACAAATATTCAATATTATTGTCATTCTTAGTGTTGAATTGATTTTCTTTTTTCATTAGTATTAATTTGATTTTGATTTAAGCTTTATTATAATTACCAACATCTTTGGACTATAATCTTTATTGAACCATTCAAAATTCTAAGTTTCAAACTTGAAATAATATATTAAAAGATAAAAACTATGAAAAAGTATAAGAAATATTTAAAAATTATATCAAAGTAAACATTTTTATGTATAAAATAAAATTTAAAAAATATATATATAATGTCGGGTTCGTTTGGTCTCGGATTGGTTTTTCTAGTTAAAACCAGGAGCGAATTTAAGTGTCAAATTTGAGTCACCGAAATCCGTGGTCATCCGGCTAAACTCGATATATCATTTGTATAATTCTTAAAAATATATTAAATATTACCTAAAGGAACCTATGTTTAAAATGACTAGATGGTTCACTGGTCTGAGGGCTTATTATTGAGCTGGTAGTCGCTGATTCGAATCCAGCCAGCGCTCAATTTGCCCATTTTTTTGTAAGGTCTATTTTATTATATTAATTAATAAAAGAAATGGCATTTACAACTTTAATTAGCCAAGGCAAAAAAATAGAAGAAAAATATAATTCAATTAAACGTCTTCTCTTTAGCTCGCTAATTTATTGTCTTTATAAAATTTTGGAAATTTAACAGAAATAAAAATAATAATTTTAAATTTATTATTTTTATTTTAGTTATTAAAAATCTATGTAGGGGTATATTTGATCTTTTTCACACATTTTTTGAGTTTCTTATTCTTATTTCTTAATTTTTTCGTTCACTTTAGTGTAAAACCTAAATCAAAAGAAAGAACTGTGAATGGAAAAAGTGAAAAAATTAAGAAAATATTTTAGAACAATTTTTTTTTGGGCTATATTGGAATTTAAATGTTATTATTTTTGTGGCTATATTGAAATTTAGTTTTTATATCTATAATTTTTTTGGGCATGTATAATAAATTTTACAATAAAATTAGTGAAAAAAAATAAATTTGATCATTAAAATAATAAATTCAAATTAGCCGTTGAATAAAAAAATCTAAAAAAAAATATACGACAAGGATCAAATATACCCCTATATTAATTAATTTTTGCATTCGTTAGAGGTAAAGAGTATAGGTGAGTCATTTGTGTAACATTAGGGGTATATATAAGTCACTTTCATAACAAGGTGAATGTCAACTTTAAATCACAAAGTTGAGGGCTATATTAGGCCATTTTTCCTACAATTTTAGATATTATCTTTAAAGTAATAGTGCACCCGTCTTCTTGAAATCCTGGATTCGCCTCTAGTTAAAATCAAACCAACCCAAATATAGTCGGGTTTTTTTTTTAATACCAAACCAAGTCAACCCAACCACTAGTCGGGGTTTTTTTTCTCGATTTGCGATTTGGTTTGGTTTTCGGTTCGATTTTGTACACCCCTAGAATTTTTCAAGCTCATTTAAAACTATGGCTTATAAGCTCAGCCCATTTAAGTATTTTGCCCTTGAGGCTTGATCGGAGTCGGCCCATGGACCAAAACATTTTATGTAAGAGTAACTTACAATAATCTCACTAGCATATAATATAATTACTTAAATACACGCTATGTTGTAATATTATGAATCTTACCAGATTTTTGTACGTTCATATACATGTATCTTGGAATATATGGACTAAAATTAGGTTAATTTGTTTTAGATACACTATATCCAAGTAGATTCGTATGTACCTAGAATACATAGATAAATCTCGCGCCCTCTCCCCCCTCCCATCTTGCTTGTCATTCTTTTATCTCGCTCGTGTATCTGGTATGCGAGATACATGTTAATTACACTATATTTTTTACTAGTGTTATTGAAACAACACCATTATTTGTCATATTTGATTTGAAAATCTTCTCATTTTCTTGATGTTATAGAATATAAGTAAAGAAGAAAAAAAGGTTATCCTGCCCTAGCCCTCGGTCCTTCTAGGGTTGGATTGGATTGAACATTTTTAGGCCCTTACAAATGAAGGGCCGGCCCGCCCTAGCCCTTCAAATTTTTTGGTCCGCGAGGCTTGGATCGGATAGGACTGGACCGACCCTTTTTGACAACTCTAATTGAACAAAAGGAATAAAATTTGTTTTCACAACACTTAAATTATTTTAATTTTTGAGAACAAGTATTGAAAATATCACTATGTGAATTATTTATTCCGTCTCTTTTTACTTGTTCAATTTTAACATTTTTGAATCTCTTTTTACTTGTCAATTTTGACAAATCAAGAAAAAATAATATTTTTTTTACCTATTACACCCTTAATTTATTTAGAGAGTTGATATTTTTGAAAAAGATAGAATTTCTTTAATGAATAAATTGATTTTGAGATTCTATCAATTAATAGTAGGGATGGCAATGGGGGGGAGGGGGGGACGATTTTAGCTCAATCGGCAAAATATTCCTTCCCACCCTGCATAACAACTTTTTTTCATTTTCAACTTGTCCCAACTCCCACATTCCCCGTATAATTTTTCCAATATTTTCTTTTTTAAGTTTGATATTAAAAATAAAATTTATAAAATAAATTGATTTTTTTCATTAAGTATTATTATTTAATAGGATAGTGACTTAAAAAGTTAAGTATTTATTAGTAGTCCACTTGGAAAACATGTAAGAAATTGTATTACTCCTTCTGTTTCAAAAAGAGTGACCTAGTTTGACTTGACACGAAGTTTAAGAAAATAAAAAAACTTTTGAATCTTATTGTCCTAAATTAAAGTTATATCGAATATACAAAATAGTCATATAATCTTGTGGCATTAAATATGTCACGTAGAAAGCTGAAATTAAAATATTACCAAAAACAAAAAGAAGCCATTCTTTTTAAAACATACTAAAAGGAAAGTAGGTGATTCTTTTTAAAATATAGGAAGAATTTTTTATCGAACCATTTTTCATTTATTATCTTAAATATTTTAATAGTTTTTAAAGAAATTATTTTAATAAATAATACTCTATCACTCTTAAGGCTTGTTTGGATTGGCTTTTGGCTTATGACTTATAAGTCAAAAGCCATAAGTTCGGATTTCTAACTTATGACTTTTGACTTATTTTTGTTATTTTGGGTTTAAAATAAGTGCTTATAAGCACTTTTTAACTTTACTCAAACATTTCAAAACTGCTTAAAAACTATTTTGGCTCAAAAGTACTTAAAATAAATCAATCCAAATGGACACTTATAACATGTAAAAAATTGAAATTAAGTTTGAACTCACATAAAATTATATATACCCACAACTTGTCCCCCCGCATTAATTTAAAAAATCCACTTGAATCCACCATGTACAATATTAAATTCATCCCGCTCCGCATAGTCTTAAAACCACCCCACTCCATTATCATCCCTAATTAATAAGAATTAATTAATAAATTCATTACATTAATTATTATTTTCGTAATAAATATGTCAAATAAAAAATAAACCAATAAATAGAAACAAAAGGAAATACATGGGTATACTGTATTTGTTAGTGGCTTTTAGTTGGTTTGCTATTTAAATCTTCATTATGATCTCCTCTTCCATCTTCTTTTCCAAATATTTTTTCTCTTAATTTATGTAAGACATTTTTTTAAAGCATGTTTGGATTAATTTTTAACTTATTTTATATTCTCTTTATTTTATGTTAATTAAATTAATGAGACAATACATACTCTCTCCATTTCAAAAAAGATTGATCTAGTTTGACTTGCCACAAAGTTTAAGAAATTAAAGAAGATTTTTGAATCTTGTGATCATAAATTAAAGTTATGTCAAATATACAAAATTGTCCTTAATCTTATAGTCTTAAACATGATGGAAAACAAAAAATAAAATATTACAAAAAAAGGAAATAGGTCATTTTTTTGAAATTGACTAAAAAGGGGAAAGGAGGTCATTCTTTGTGAAATGAAGAGAATACTTATTAAAAATACATAATCTAAATCTTAAAAATTACATGAAGCTTCATTAAAGAAAAAAAAAACAAATATGAAAAAGAACTTAAACAGATTCATGTTGAACTATAAATAATTCAATTATTTTGAGCAATAAAAAAAACTCAAAAAAGTTCAATTAATATAAATAGAAGCATAATATTTTTTAGTATAGATTTTAATATTGATAAATACTTTCTAATATATCAAAACATTAACAGTGGTGCTTAAAATCTAATTGATTTTTTTGTTCCAAAAGGAACATTACCTTTTTTGAATTAAAATTTAAGACCTTTGTCATTATCAGTTTATTTTCTTTAACATTGTTAATCCTTTTCATAATTTCAACATTGTCAATTTCTCATATAATGAAATATCCAGATCTGAATAGCTTAAATTGTCATTCAAAGAGTGAAGAAGACGAAGAGAATCAGAATTAATAACTAAAGCATATTTCTATTCCATGAATATGTAACAGAGAATTACACCATCAAAGCACAAATAAAAAAAAACCAACAAACCCTAACCCCCAAATCCGTAAAGGGTCCTTCCTTGCCTCTTAAGTGCATAAACAACATCCATAGCAGTAACCGTCTTTCTCCTAGCGTGTTCTGTGTAAGTTACAGAATCACGAATCACATTTTCCAAAAAGATCTTCAAAACCCCACGAGTCTCTTCGTAAATCAACCCAGAAATACGCTTCACACCACCTCTACGAGCGAGTCTTCGAATAGCTGGCTTTGTAATTCCCTGGATATTGTCTCTCAACACTTTTCTGTGCCTCTTGGCTCCTCCTTTGCCCAATCCTTTGCCTCCTTTACCTCTGCCTGACATTTTTCTGAATAAATTTTAGAGAAGAAATGCTCTTGATTTGGATTTTGATGATTGGGGCTTTGAGGGTTCTGTGTATATATATAGCTGATGATTTAAATCGTGGCCGTTGGTGTGTTGGAGCTTAAAGTGATGATCGGACGGATATTAGTATCGATCCGTGAGAGAGGCGAATCTGCATTTGAGCCGTTGATTATATGGAGATCTACGGTAGAGAGTGATTGTTTTATGATGGGTGCGGATTGTGTTTTTTTTGGTTTTGTCAAGCGAAATAGGGAATCTATTTCTAAATATTTTTTAAAGCCTCTTATAATTTCTGTTGGCCTATTCAGGCATTAAATTATTACGTATTTTTTGAAATATTATATTAAGGTTTAATATTTATAACATATTATTTTGGTTATTTGTATTTCAAAATATTGGGACAGTTTAGCGCATAAAGCATCTCGCGTTCATGCAGGGTTTGAAGAAGAGTTGTACATAAAGAGATATGATGTAGACAGTTTATTCTAATGCAAGTAAGGATGACTACTTTCACAACTTAGCCTCGTAAGTTGTAGATCACATGAGAACGATTTAACATTATTACAAAAATCGTATAATCTGAAGTAACGAACAATTTCATCATCAAGCTAAAAAGAAAAAGAAAAAAAAGTTAGCATCCTAAAACTAAAAGCACAACAGCAAACGAAAAATACTATTATATGGTCCTATCAACACAAATTGTTTGACTTCAAATATTTTTTAAAAGTTTTGGATATTAATGTGAGGAACATTACAAGTGGAACAAGAGTTCTTACTCATAAATTTCAGTTTCCTATAAAGAAATTAAGTGAATTATTTTTCCACATCGAAGGCGGGTTCAGAAGTTAATTTAATTTGTATAGTTTAGGTTTTTATTACAAAATTTATTGAGTATAATTTAGAAATTATGAGTTTCATATATAATTTATTTTGAAATTGGTATATTCTTAACATATGTTCTATGATCTGAGCTACACTCCCAACTTTGTTGAGTTATGTAATTTACCGTACAGTATGGCCCATCATTGTGGCTGTAGTTTAGTGGTGAGAATTCCACGTTGTGGCCGTGGAGACTTGGGCTCGAATCCCAGCAGCCACACAAATTCAAATCATTATTTTTTATGTTATTCACATTTTCATTTTGGACTTTCTTTTTAGGGAAAATAATTATAAAATTTTTAAGAATCTGATAGTGTAAGGAACAAATTATATGAATCTGAAACAGCTCATAAACACATGGTGGAATATTCACTCAACACCAAAGCTGGAGGCAGTATACAGAGCAATGCCAGCATTCATAATGTGGATTATATGGAAAAGGAGAAACAATATCAAGCATGGAGGAAATGTGTCTTTGAATAACATGATATGGCAAGTACAAGACATGATTAGGAAACTACTCAAAAGCTTATACCCTTGGATGAAGATAGGAAAGGAGGATTGGCCTCACATGGTTAACTTATTGAAGAAATACAAACCAAGATTACACTATTATTGTGTTACTTGGAGATCTGATATATGCAGCAGCCAGAGGAATAGGTATAGCCACAAATACAGAAGCAAAATCTATGGCTATTAAGGAAGCTTTGGGGTTTTGTCAGTCCATTAATCTAAAGGAAGTAACGATTGAAACAGATTCCCTTACACTGAAAATGATGATTGAGAGGGAATGGAAGGTGTCATGGGACCTTAAGAGATGATAGAATGAATAAGGGTCCAAATGCAACTAATACAAGCAAACATAAAGCATATCTATAGAGAAGGAAACACAGTGGCAGATTCATTAGCTAATGAAGTTGTAGACACACAAGACACAAAGGAATATCACATTTTTTATGAGCTACCAGCACATATAAGGAAACACATAAACATGGACAAGGCTCGAATTCCTAACCTTAGGATTAGGACACGAAGAATAAACAGCCAATGAAACAGAAAAGCAAAAGGAGGGGAAGGAAGAAGAAACATATGTAGAGAATCATAAAAGGGACCCCAATAGTTATATGCCGAGAGAGAAAAAAAAACACTTTGATCTACCAAGACAAGATCCTAACCTAGCTAGTTCCCATAGCTACCAAAAGCTTCACCAGAAAGAGGGGTCTTACATCCCACCACCACAGTCCAGAGTCAACAGTGAGCTTCAATTTCAATCCACCACCTGGAGACAACAAGATATTAAATCTGACAAAACAGGGCGAGAGGAAATGAAAATTCTGGACTCACCAGAGGCTAAGGAAGACGATAGATAGAGACATTCTAACAACAATCAAGGATGGAGCTTGCTTGAAAATGTTGATTCCAGCTCAAAAGAAACATCACATAAGGCGTCGAAGAAGAAGGAGAGTACAGAGTACTCTTTAACTATGTCTAGTGTTTTTTTAGATAATTAGGAAACATTGTTTTTTGGATCAGGCGGTTTGGGCCTGTTTTCCGTTTGTTTTTTGCGGATTATTAATAAAATAGGTCCACCTGAGGACCTAAGATTTGATTTTTTTTTAAAAAGGAACAAATTATATTTTATCTCTACTCTTTTAGTAATTATAATAATTTCTTAAAATTTGTACCTTCCGGATATATGAGTCACACTCCGGATACATTAATTCTGATATAATAAATATATGTCTATTACTCTAAAACAAGGAACAAAATCGTTTATGTTGCGCTTAAAAAAGAAAAGAAACGTAACACTAAATATCAAATTCATAAATCACGCAATTGTTGTCACTGCTAATCAATCCTCTCAAAGCATAACAGCTTCAAACAATTCAAATTTCAAATTTCTTCACTCAAATTGTCAAAATCTTTTTAACTTCGATTCAAAATCATTGAAAAATTGAGTTGATACATCATGAATATCTCTATTTTGTTGAGACATTCAAGAATCTGAAAAAGTGAGGTGAGTTATGAACGGTACAGAAGTGGTGAAATAGTTGTTGGACAAAATATTTCTTTTGTGAATGTTGAATCAACCATTGCAGCTTGAAGATCGATGAGTTGAGGAAAATCTGAAGATTCGATACATTACAGAGACGAGCGTTGCTTTATCCCTATACAATTGTCTTTCCTTCACCTCTGTATTGTTTGAATCAATTATGTAATTTGTTACTTTCAATTATGATATATATAACATGAATCACCAATTATTGATCCAACCATAGCAAGAGCTTGTGCATCCTTTTCTAAACCTTTGACACATAAAATGACACCAGATGTAGTATCAAAAACAATATATTTCTCCATTCTTTTTCTCTATCGTATCAATTCACAGTGGATGTATTACAAGTCAAGGTTCATGCTCGCCTCTGTAATGTATCTTGTGGTTATTATTAAATATTAGATATATGTAGTGTTATTTTTGTATGAATGTATAATTACCGACAAATGAATATTTATCAGTGATTTGTATGAATGTATCATAATGTAGATTAGTCATTAGTATATATCAGATTCACATGGTATTAATTTGAATGTAAGAATTCTAATCAAGAAAAAATGTATGATACATTATTAATTATTGTAGCTTATTTCTGAGTGATAAAGTAAGACTCTCCTTATTTTTTTTATTTTTTGACTTAAAAATCATTTTAAGTTTGACTTTTTTTGGAAAACTTACATAAATATACTATATTAAGAAAATATGAGTCCGGAGCCTAAAGGGCAAAAAAAATTGTCAAAAATTTCAAAATGGCACATCACTTTTTATTTTAGCCAAAAGGGTAAAATCGCTGCGTCAGCAGCGATTTTCCTCTGACAAAATGACGAAATAGCAGCGATTTCGTGTAAAAAATTTTTTATATTTTTTTTAATTAAAAATCGCTGCGATTTTGTAATTTTTTTTTAATTAAAGATCGCTGCTTTTTCTTTTAAAAAACTAAAATGGCACATCAAAAAAAAAAATTAACCAAAAGGTCTTCTGACAAAACAAAAATAAAAAATACGATGCATATTTTCTCAAAAAAAAAATAAACTTTTTTTCTTTCAAAATCGCTGCTATAGCAGCGAATTTGGTTTAAGAATTTTAAAAAAAAAAAAGTTTTTACTTTTAATTTAATATTCTTTTATTATTATTTATGATATATAATTCAATTTTCCTTCATGCTTCATCAATTTTATTGAGTATACTGTCGTCTTGTTTATTATTTTTATATTATTAATAAGTAATAATAGGCATGAAAATAATAGCACTCGGCATGAAAAAATGCTGCCCCCTGCAGCGATGTGTAAAGGAAAAAAAAAATTCTGACTTAAAATCGCTGCCACAACAATTTTTTTTTTTTTTTTTTACAATGGCAGCGATATTTAATAATAATAATAAAAACAAAATTTAACAAAATCGCTGCTATGGCAGCGATTTTTAATTAAAAAAAATAAAAAAATTTTTTTAGTCGAAATCACTGCTATTTCGTCATTTTGTCAGAGGAAAATCGCTGCTGACGCAGCGATTTTGCCCTTTTGGCTAGAATAAAAAGTGATGTGCCCTTTTAGAATTTTTGACAATTTTTTTTTGCCCTTTAGGCTCCGGATTCAAGAAAATATTATCATTTATAGCAATAACACTTTTTTTCACTTGTTCAATTTTAATACAGTTTTAATACATACTACAGAGAATAATTTATAAAACACATATAATAAAAGTTTTATTGATGGATAATACATTTATCACCCATTTTATCGCACATTTTAACACAATGTGTCAATTTCTTACCAAACAAACATAATATATTGTAAAATAGTTATAATAATACAAATATATTGTATACATAATTCACTTTTAATACATATTGCATATTTATTATAGTATTGCTATAAATGGTAAAAAAGTATCGTTAAAAGGTACCTTTACAAATAATTTTTCTTTTTTTTTAAACTTAAAAACTACTTTTTTTTCAGTCAATCCAAATGGATTCTAAATTGATCGTTCATGTATTATTTTTTTTAAAATAACCAACTAAATTGACAATATCGATGTGATAAATCCAATGTTTACATTAAACCATACTCTATCAATTTATCAATGATTAAATAATTTAATGAAGTGAGTATATATATACCGTGAATCCACAACACATGGATTCAATTTTCGTTGTTCATTTGATAATTTATAAATATAAGATAAATGATTGGCTACGAAGGGATTCCCCCACCCCACCCCCACCTAGTAAACGTATCACAAACTTCCTCCTTTTTTTTATATAGTTTTATATATTTAGAGAGATATATGGTGAATTCACCCTATTATTCTTTCAAAATTCATAAAT